AAACAACTGCACTGTGCCCTTGCCCGGCCTCGTCTTCAGAAGCTTCTCTACTGGCACGTTCAGCTGCAGCAGGACATGCAGCACGTGCTGGAGCGGGGCTGGGATCTCCTTGGGATGGTAACGGCACAGATTACGCACCATCAGGAACCGCTCCAACAAGGACGCGTCGGGCTTCGACGGACGAATCCTCGGAGCAAATATAATCTCGGCTACCAGAATGCCCAAAGCTTGCATGTCCCTCTGGAAGAGATCCGAGAGACCCAGCGGTGGCTCTTCCCACGGCTGCTCCATTAGCTGCATCTCGCTGCTCAAACCTTTAACCAAGAAATTGTCCAGTTTCTCCAGTTCTTCCAGGGCCTGGAGTGGATTGAAGCCTTCAGGGAGTGTGATTTTCATGTGCTGATCCCCAGCACCTGCCTTGCTCCGACGGAGAGGTCGGACACCTGAGGATTTGCCATCAGTGGCATAAGGAGGGAAGGTGGAGGGTTGTGCTGAAGGCACAGTGACAGAGGGCTGGTCACCAGCCCTACCAGTAGCAGGAATCGAATCCAGGGCTTCCATGCCTTGCTCTAAATCATCCTCACCAGCAGTGGACTTCTCCCCAGACCAGGTAGTTTCACTGGGAGTAGCCTCCAGGACGAGCCCATTCACCGCATCCATCGCCTGGCCTTGGATATCCTCCAAAAACACAGTCTCTCGGATGTTCTGGAGAAGAGGCCGGGCGATGGCTGGAGCTTCAGCAGGAGTGTAGGCAGGTCCCACCATGCGCCTGGGATGCGGCTGATCAAACAGCTGCACCACCCCGTAGGTCGTCAGATGCGTGTGGTTGTCGACCAGATGGAGGCAGACGTTCTTCTCCTTGACTGCATCCTTCCCCAGCAGCTTGTACCCAAACGTGAGGTCAATCCAATGGTGGAGGTCCTGGGAGACCTCCCTGCTCTCAAGCAGCATCCGGTGAACTTCGATGAACTCCTCGTAGGAGCTACACCACGACGGCACGTCCAGGTCGGGCATGTCCGGGTGGATGGATCGGAAGATGGAGGGGTCTGTGTAAAACTCCGGGATGCACTCATCCGGGGTCCAGCTCTGCATGCGCTCCATGCTGGCTGGATACTCATTGGGCTCCCACTGGGACCTCACATGGCAGCACAGCACTGCCTTGGGTGTCCTCCGAGCCGTGTACACGTAGTAGGTGATATCCGAAAGGACATCGGAGATGTGATGGGGGACGTGGAGCTGCTCCCCACTCGACCCCCCAGCAACGAACGCCTGCTTGGTCATCTCGTAGGTGAAGTCCAGCTGTTTGTCTCCCTTGTTGAGACGGAACTTGGATTTCCTTAGGTCCCTGAACTTGCCATTTTTGGTGGTGAAGTCCACCACCCACGGAAGAACCGGGTGGTAGTTGGGGTCTCCCATTCTCCTCCCAGCCAAACTGTTTAGACGCATAAGGTAGTCGAAGTTGCTGACCTGCCCGTGCACCCACTGCAACACCAGGTCTCGGAGGTCCTTCTGGCAGGTGGTGCACCTCGCCTCCTGCCCAACATGGCCTTGCTCACTCACTCGTTCCATGTCAGCCTCCAGGTTCACTTCCTCCTTTCTCGGTCCCTCGTACTCTCTGAAGTTCACACGCAGGCGGCTGCACAGCTTCTCATCCACAGCCACGTCCCGAAGTGAAAAGGCACCACAAGCCAGACCCGCCTGGTGACAAGCCCTCATGGCCTGCAGCACGTGGAAGAGGAGGAAGAGAATTTTGGCGTGGCTGTTGGTGAGCTTGGCTGGGCTGAATGTCACGATGTCGTGCAGGCAATACTGCACATACGGGTAGATGACGTAGAGCACATCGGCTGACTCCAGCAGCGCTTCCGCCTGCAGCACATTGGGGCAGGAGGGCACCCCTTTGGTGGCCGCCGGGCTCTCCTTGGCGGGGGAAGCACCGTGCACATTCCTGCCCACCTGAAGGACCGGGCAGCCATACGCCTTCTGCAGGGCAGCCCGGAGGGCATCCAGGGCCGGCACGGTGGGCGGCGCATCCGCGTGCTGGTAGGGCCGCGCGTACCGGGCGTGAGCCCGGCACCACAGGTTGCGGTAGTTCTGAGTGGCCACGCTCTGCATGAAGCCATGTAGGGTCTCTGGGTGGTCAGAGCTGGGGGGCTGCACCTGCAGCAGGTACCTCAGCCGGTCCTTCCGCAGCCCGTGGATCTCCACCCGAGTCCAGCCCGCGGGCAGCTTCTGCACCGAGTGCTGGAGGAACGTCCTCACCTCCACCTCGCTCAGCCCCTCCGGGCGTGGGCACAGGGCGGGCAGTGCCCGGCGCTCCCGGAGGCTCGAGAGCCATTTCACTGGGACGAAGGCAGTGACGTGGGTCCTGTCGGTGGCGGCGGCCAGCTGCCGGCGGTCGATGCTCAGGTCCCTCTCCACACTCTGCAGGAAGCTCTCCATGTTGGCTCCTGCTGGGAGGAAGGCGGCCCAGAGGGGCTGTGAGCGAGCAGAGCAGCGCAGCACCGTCCTGCCCTCCCTGTCACGCGACAAGTCTCACTTCCCCATTGGCACCCCGAGCAAAGAAAAAAAGCTGTTTTAAGGGCTTGGTCACTGTATGAGGAGGTGGGGGTTGAGAAGAGACCAGCCCGGGAAGGGAGGGACACAGTGGGACCTCTGCAGCCAGGCAGGGGGACACGGTGGGGTTTACACAGGGAGGGGAACATGATGGGACCTGCACAGTCCGAGTGCTGGGGAAGGGGACGCGATGGGATCAGTGTGGGGGCATGATAAGACCTGAACCGACTCCTGGGGAAAGGGATATGATGGGACCTCTGCAAGTGGTGGGAGGGCCACAACGGCACCTCCACAGCCCCAGCCTTGAGCGAGGGACACGAGGGGACATCCAGAGCCACAAGGGCTGATGGCGGGAACTTGATGGGACTTGGGGCTGGGGGGTGCACGATGGGTCATCTGCACCCCCAGGGCTGGTGGGTGGCACACGCTGGCCCCGGGGGTGACTCAGAGGATGCCCAGAGCAATAAGCACAACCCCAGCACCGCCCCACGGCCACGGCCAGAGACGCGGCCCCGCGCCCCGCAGGGCCCTCGCCCCCGGAGGGGAGGGAGTGCGGAGCCGAGCTGAGCCCCGCGGGCTCGAGGGCCGGTCCCGTGAGCCCTCATCCCGCGGGGGGAGGAGGGGACCCTCACCGCCCCGGCGGCCCCGCGTTACCTGGCGGCGGCGGCGGCGGCGGCGGCGGCGG